TATTCTTTATGTAACTACATATTGTGTCTTTTACGTCTGTACAGTTATTCTAAAATAAAAACCATAATCACTGATTTATTTATTTTTAATTTTATTATTTTACATTATCTATATTTATAGAATGTGGTGCCATTAGAATACATAGTTTTATTATAGTGGTTGGATACTTTGTAACTGCTGGTGTATAGGAAATATAGTTCACAAACTTTTGCAGTGTTGGCCATCTGTGCTTTAGAACTAAATTAACACTCCAGACCCCTAAAGCACGCTAGTGTTCTGAAATGCTTTGTGCAAAGTGTCATTTTGTTAAAAATAAAAAGTGCAGATTTCAATAGAAATTTACACTTCTAAATTTAAAGTAGTTATACCCCCTTGGCATTCAAGCAAACTGGTCATGTTACTGCCTGGTTTGGTGAGTTCAGTAGAGCTAATTTCAAGCAAACTCAATTGCTCAGAGCGCAAATACTTTGCAAAAACTTCTCAGTTTCCAATTGGAGTATATGTATTAAACAGTGATTTTTATTTTGTATTTGGACACTGGAGTGCCCCTTTAACCTTCAATAAACCTTTCAAAATTAGGAGTCTGCAAGCAAGCAAGAAAGTGCTGGCTAGGGAGTTTTAAAGCAGCACTGTCATGCTGATCTTATCTTTCTCCTATTGTTTTCTCTTCTTTTCCTCTCTTAGAATATGTTCTTCTCTTCAAATCTGATCTATTTTTCTTTAAAATATAAGACAAAGTACTGTATATTTCCTATGCTTTACCTTGTTTGAGCAAAGGAGGGGCTTAAGTTGGCAGCATTTTCTGTGGTCAAAGAAATTTACCCACAATACTGACCATTCCTCCATGATCACTTCGATGCCTCCTTTCACTATTCCTGAATGTCCTGTCTTATAGGCCAGGACTGTGGTGAATTTATTGAATTGCGTGCGAACCGAATGTGCATTCGTGTTCGACTGATCAGTCATTTTGCTCGGTTTGGAATTTCATTCAGAGAATGCTATTTCGATATGACAAGTGCTGATTGGGGAGCTATCTCTTAAAAAAAAAACAAAAAAAAACTGAAAGACCAAAATTGGTCGTTTAGCCTACTTTACTATTAACTCCTTAGTGACCAAAACTGGTTGTTAACGACCTCGGACGTACCTGATACGTCCACGGCACATTTGAGCACTGGAATCGAACTTTCCAAAATACCCTAAAACCTGTACATGGGGGAGGGGGTTCTGTTTTACACACTTGATTTCACTGAACACAAATATTGGTGTTTCAAAACAGTAAAACATTACAGTGATTTTTTTTATTTTATTTTTTTTTGCATTTTTCACACACAAACGGCACTTTCACTGATATCATTGTTGTGATACGTTTTACTGTTCTGAAACCCTAATATTTGTGTTCAGCAAATTCTTCTGAGTACAACAGTAATCCCCGTTTACAGGTTTTATGGTGTTTTTTGAAAGTTACAGGGTGAAATATAAGGCTTGGATTTTCTGGGGGTTTTTTTTGTTTGTTTGTTTTTTTTTTTTTACATTGAAGTATGCCAGATTGGTTATGTTGCCGTTCAGAGCGTATGGTAGCCCAGGAATGACAATTACCCCCATGATGGCATACCATTTGCAAAAGACAAGGTACTGCAAATTGGGTATGTTCAGTCTTTTTTAGTAACCACTTGGTCTCAAACACTTGCCAAAATTAGCATTCATAATTGTTTTTTGCATTTATTTATTTAATTTTTTTTTAAATTCTTTTTGTTTTTTTTAGGTAACATGTTTAGCAAAAGTACATTTTCATAGTCAATACATCGTGAGTAACAAAATGAAAGGTGTAACATTACAAGGGTTAATCACACATAGGATGCTTGTTCCCGTTATTAAGGTCTTTTTGATGTGTCTCGGATTAGGTTGTATTTGGGATTGATCCGGTATCTCGAGGGCCGAGTGACCATGTGTGATGGGGAGGTCTGGGGTAAGGACGTATAACCGGGGAAGACATAAATTGTGAAACTTTCACCGAGGTGAAAACAAAGTAACATTTAGTAGGCGCGTGTGTTGTCCAAGTTTGTGGGTGTGTACGTAGTGGGAGATGGGAGGTGGTACAGAGTGGGTAGTAGTCTCTGTCTGTTGTGTGGTCGAATTGACGTGTTGTGTTTGTGGAGCGTGCGGTGTGGGTAAGGAATTGTCTACTGCGAGTACCTGTCGGTGTCCCCCTCTCGCCCTGTGGGCGAGTCATGGAACGTGTCGGGAAGGTCCGTGTCATGTCTGTGGTGATCTGTTTGTGTACAGCCGGTGTGTGCAGTCTATTGCCGAGCTGCTTGGGTAGGTGTGGTCATTTGGGTGTAGGTTTGCCTGGAAGAAGAAGATTCTACCTTGTGTCTTGTGTTTTTTATGTCTGTGTTTTTTGCATTTTTAACACACCAATAAAAATGCTAACTTTGGCCAGTGTTTGTGAGTAAGTGACTACTAAAAAAGTATTAAATAGCCTGGGCTGTCTAATTTAAAAAAAATCTGTACATGTAAAATGTGATATAAAGATTTATGACAGATAAGTGTTAAAACTTTACTATTGATACATTTAAAATATATATATATTTTTTTTTTTTTTGAAATAGCAATGCCCCACTTGTACTTATACCCCTTTTACAGTGATGGCGAACCTATGGCACGCGTGCCACAGGTGGCGCCGGGCCCTTTTCTGTGGGCACGCGGCCACAGGTCCGCCATCAATGCAGAGTAGGCGCCTGTCTGCCCGAAACGGCAGGCGCCTACTCTGCTTCCGGGTCGGGAGGCAGGGGGAGGGCTCTAGGAAGCTGCTCCCCTGTCCTCCCGCGATGCTGTGTGGAGCGTTGCCGCGCGTTACCATGGCAACGCTCCACACAGCATTGCGCGAGAGGACAGGGGAGCTGCTTCCTGGAGCCCTCCCCCTGCAGTGCTTACCACCACCGGACCACCAGGGATCGCTGTGTGTCCCCCCGCCAGCAGTAACCCCTACCCCCCCCAGCAGTAACCCCTACCCCCCCCAGCAGTATACTGACACAGCACCCATACCCCCCCAGCAGTAACCCCTACCCTCCCCAGCAGAACCCCTACCCCCAGCAGTAACCCTTACCCCCCCAGCAGTAACCCCTACCCTCCCCAGCAGTAACCCATACCCTCCCCAGCAGTAACCCTACCTCCCAGCAGTACCCCTACTCCTCCCCAGCAATAACCCCTACCCCCCAGCAGTACTTACCTTCCCAGCAGTACCCTACTCCTCCCCAGCAGTACTCTACCAGCAGTAAACTCTACCCTCCCCAGCAGTAACCCTACTCCTCCCCCAGTTGTATACCCCTACCCTCCCCAGCAATAACCCCTATCAGCAGTACCCCCTACCCCACACACACACAGCAAATTTCTCACCCCACACACAGTACTCCCCTACCCCCACACACATAGTGCACCCAAACCATCCCAGCAGTACACCACTACCCCCTCACACAAGTACCTCTACCTCCCAGCAGTACCTCTACCCCCACACACAGTACCCCTACTCCCTCCAGCACCCTTACACATATAGCACTCACATGGGTTAACATTCTCACACGCACCCCACCTCAATGCAGTATGTGTGTATTCAGCTGTCTGTGTTTGCGTGTATTCAGCTGTCTGTGTTTGCGTGTACTCAGCTGTCTGTGTTTGCGTGTACTCAGCAGTCTGTGTGTGTGTGTACTCAGCAGTCTGTGTGTGTGTACTCAGCAGTCTGTGTGTGTGTGTGTGTACTCAGCAGTGTGTGTGTACTCAGCAGTCTGTCTGTATGTGTATTCATCAGTCTCTGTATTCAGCAGTCTTGTGTGTGTGTATTCAGCAGACTGTGTGTATGTATTCAGCAGTCTGTCTGTGTATGTATTGCATTTGTTGGAGATACTAATAAATATAAGCTTAATTTTATCTATTTATATCATTATTTAAAATTTGTATCATTGAACTCTCTGTGTTCTTTTAAAACAAAAGTTATTAGTTCGGACAACAGTACGAGTTGTTTTTTTCTAAACTTAAACCTCAGTATTTGGGTTTAATTGCCGTGTTGGCACTTTAAGGAGAAAAAATGTTGGTATGTATTGCGGTTTGGGCACTCTGGCTCAAAAAGGTTCGCCATCACTGCCCTATTACTTTCCAAAAACTAAGAACATGTTAACGTTGGGTATTTCTAAACTCAGGACAAAACTTAGAAATAATTTAGCACGGGTGTTTTTTGGCGGTTGTAGATGCGCAACAGATTTTGGGGGTCAAAGTTGGAATTTTTTTTATTATTTTCATCATATTATAGTAAATAAAATATGATGAAAATATTGGTATCTTTTAGAAAGACCATTTAATGGTGAGAAAAGGGGTATATAATGTGTGGGTACAGTAAATGAATAAGAGAAAAATCACAGCCAAACACAAACACCGCAGAAATGTAAAAACAGCCCTGGTCCTTAACGGTAACAAAATTGAAAAACTGTCTCGTCACTAAGGGGTTAATAAGTAAAAATTACTTTGTATTGGCAAATAAGGAAAATTAAAATATACTCCCTGCCGTTCAAGGAGTGGAGTAAGAGGGGGACTAAATAAAATTTTAAAAAACTTGGCAAGCCCTGAGCAGCATCGAGAGTAGTCGCTTTTCACTGTACTCTTCCTTAAAGGACCACTCTAGGCACCCAGACCACTTCAACTTAATGAAGTGGTCTGGGTGCCTGGTCCAGCTAGGGTTAACCCATTCTTTCATAAACATAGCATGTTTATGAATGGGATAAGCCTTCCCCTATTTCCTCTAGCGGCTGTCTCATTGACAGCCACTAGAGGCGCTTGCGTGCTTCTCACTGTGATTTTCACAATGAGAGCACGCCAGCGTCCATAGGAAAGCATTATGAATGCTTTCCTATGTGACCGGCTGAATGCGCGCGCAGCTCTTGCCGCGCGTGCGCATTCAGCCGACGGGGAGGAGAAGAGGAGGAGAGCTCCCCGCCCAGCGCTGGAAAAAGGTAAGTTTAACCCCTTTTTCCCCTTTCCAGAGCTGTGCGGGAGTGGGACCCTGAGGGTGGGGGCACCCTCAGGGCACTATAGTGCCAGGAAAACGAGTATGTTTTCCTGGCACTATAGTGGTCCTTTAAGCCTTTTAATCTACTATATATGCTCTTCTTCTACCGTGACCTACCTATTTCTAAAGCCGACTAGGGCTCTTCTGTGGATAGTCTCCTGTAACCCCCAGAGGTGCGGGTGATGTGGCCAATCACTAAAACCAGATGACGCAGAGTCCCTGCAGGAATTTGTGCAGCTTTGTTTCCCCCTCTCAACCGGCGGGGGTTATCCCACTCCCTACTGGTAGACCATACTTGCTAGCGCACTCATATCGCTTCTACTGAGCATTCTTGGACAGCATCTCAGTCACACAAGATGGCGTCTGCCTCCATATGTGACATACACCTGGCACAGCCCAGACAGCAAGCCTTAGATCTGGTTGAAGGGTCTCGCTGGTGACTGGATGCTATATTTGACCACTTTTGGGCAATCCACAGCCTCACACCCAGAAACCTACCACCGCAGGCCTACGTGGGCTGAGGGCCACATTCCCTATGCATTGACCACATGGGCACGAGACCGACCGCATTTGGTGACAGGGCAACATCTGGGGCTTCTGTCCCTCTCTAGCGTAGGAGGACTTGGACTCTTTGAGCCCCAGACTCAGTGAACTATGGATGCTGGCCTTTTTACCATCCTGGGGCAGGAGATATGGTGCCCTTTACCCTCCTTCCAACGCACCCTCATATCTACTGAGTCCACCAAAAGAGGGCATTGGCTAAGTAAGCATCACTACGTAAAGCAGCAGTCCAGCTCCTTATCTGTGACTCTCTCATGGCCGGCAGATGATCACTAGCTGCCCATTGCCTACGCCATATGATTTATTTTTGCCTTTAATTTATTTTTGCTTTGCAGGTGTCATTCTTTTCTAAAAGTACCAACCTTGTATTGGCTAGGGAGGCACACTCCACTTCTGATGGGACCCAGTGGTTCTCAACATCAGAAATTCAGGTGTCTATGTAGAACGCATTTTTACCGCTTTACATTCTCTGCAGTAACACGTAGGCTTTAAATTATATTGTCTATTCCTCTATTATTAAAAAAGTACTGAGTGTACCTGATGCCACATTGTATTTCTTTGTCTATTGAAAAGTTTGTACCAGATGTTGTGGCAGTGCAAACCTGCTTGTTAACCTATGCACAACTAAAATAAAGAATATTTGTTTAAAAAAAAAAAAAAAAAGTTTACCTATGTATGGTATTGTGATCGCAAATCTATAAAGTGGAAAAGAAAACTATTTAAAAAGTTTTTTTCTCACACCTGTCTTTTTTTTGTTTCATAGACTATGCCAATTAATTGATTGACAGGGGGAGTAGAAAATACCTTCTGCTCTCCACCCATAGCACGCCATTCAGTCACTGGTATCCTGGCAACGAAGTCAGCGTCATGGAGGTTTGCCCTGCTTGGGAAAGCTTCCCCAAGCAGGGCAAATCCGTGAAAAGCTTGGTGGACCGGAGTTGTGTGCTACAGAAGTGCAACATTCACCTCTGTGAGGACATTGCCGCAGGATAGTGGAGGGTGAGGTAAGTGCCTGACAGGTTCCCTTTAAAGTAGTAAAAACAGGGTCACTGATGTGTACTAATAGTTATTAAAGAGTACTAATATACTGACAAGGCAGAGTTAAAAACACTATAAGCATCCAGACCACTTCATCTCATTGAAGTGGTCTGGGTGCCCTGTCCATGTCGTTTTACAGGAACAGCAATTTTTACATTGCAGGGTTAACATGCCTCTAGTGGCAGCCACTACAGACCCTTCCTCCCCAATAGAGTTAAACTCTACAATTTAATCAGAATGTCTCTTAGAGACCATTTAATTGGGTCTATGAAAAGGCATTGGATTGGCTGAAATCATCAAGATTCAAGATGGAAGGAATGTCTATAGAGCGAGGGAGAAAGAGGCCGTGAGCAGGTCATTATACTGTTAGGAATACGTTTGTTCCTTTAACCCCTTAACGCCGACACATTTAAATGGGCTTTAAAGCCGTTGCAGCGGCATAGAACACCATAACGGCTTAAGCCCCCAGGAGGTAAAATTTACTCACCTCCGCCGCGATCTTCTTCGGGAGGACTGCCTGACAGCCCAGGCAGCCCTCCCACGGCAAATCTGGCCCCCTATAGCTGGCTGTGGATCTGCCAGCAGGGGGGCTGTCAGAAATGTCATACAGTTCCCTTGCTGGTGGGAAAGTAAAAAATAAATAAATAAACGTGTTTTAAAATAAAATAAATGTGTGTGTGTGTGTGTATATATATATGTAGTGTATTTTTAGGTTGTTAATATAAGTATATATATTATTATTATTATTATTAAAATACACTTAGAATGACGTTACATATTTACAAGATATATAATACATCTATATATACATGTATAATTACAATAATAAAATATTTTTAAAAATTTAAATAAATTATATACATATTTAATTTCATTCTAACTGTATTTTGTTATTAATATATACACACTGCTCAAAAAAATAACTCCAAGTCAATCACACTTCTGTAAAATCAAACTGTCCGCTTAGGAAGCAACACTGAGTGACAATCAATTTCACATGCTGTTGTGCAAATGGGATAGACAACAGGTGGAATTTATAGGCAATTAGCAAGACACCCCCAATAAAGGAGTGGTTCTGCAGGTGGTGACCACAGACCACTTCTCAGTTCCTATGCTTCCTGGCTGATGTTTTGGTCACTTTTGAATGCTGGCGGTGCTTTCACTCTAGTGGTAGCATGAGACGGAGTCTACAACCGACACAAGTGGCTCAGGTAGTGCAGCTCATCCAGGATGGCACATCAATGCGAGCTGTGGCAAGAATGTTTGCTGTGTCTGTCAGCGTAGTCTCCAGAGCATGGAGGCACTACCAGGAGACAGGCCAGTACATCACGAGATGTGAAGGCGGCCGTAGGAGGGCAACAACCCAGCAGCAGGACTGCTACCTCTGCCTTTGTGCAAGGAGGAGCACTGCCAGAGCCCTGCAAAATGACCTCCAGCAGGCCACAATTGTGCATGTGTTTGCTCAAATGGTCAGAAACAGACTCCATGAAGGTGGTATGAGGGCCCGACGTCCACAGTTGGGGGTTGTGCATTCAGCCCAACACCGTGCAGGACGTTTGGCATTTGCCAGAGAACACCAAGATTGGCAAATTCGCCACTGGCATCCTGTGCTCTTCACAGATGAAAGGAGGTTCGCACTGAGCACATGTGACAGACGTGACAGAGTCTGGAGACGCCGTGGAGAACGTTCTGCTGCCTGCAACATCCTCCAGCATGACCTTTTTGGCAGTGGGTCAGTAATGGTGTAGGGTGGCATTTCTTTGGAGGGGCTGCACAGCCCTCCATGTGCTCACCAGAGGTAGCCTGACTGCCATTAGTTACCGAGATGAGATCCTCAGACCCCTTCTGAGACCATATGCTGGTGCGGTTGGCCCTGGATTCCTCCTAATGCAAGACAATCCTAGACCTCATGTAGCTGGAGTGTGTCAGCAGTTCCTGCAAGACAAAGGCATTGATACTATGGACTGGCCTGCCCGTTCCCCAGACCTGAATCCAATTGAGCACATCTGGGACATCATGTCTTGCTCCATCCACCATCACGTTGCACCACAGACTGTCCAGAAGTTGGCAGATGTTTTAGTTCAGGTCTGGGAGGAGATCCCTCAGGAGACCATCCGCCACCTCATCAGGAGAATGCACAGGCGTTGTAGGCGGGTCATACAGGCATGTGGAGGCCCCACACACTACTGAGCCTCATTTTGACTTGTTTTAAGGACATTACATCAAAGTTGGATCAGCCTGCACTGTGTTTTTCCACTTTAATTTTGAGTGTGACTCCAAATCCAGACCTCCATGGGTTGAAAAATTTGATTTCCATTTTTTAATTTTTGTGTGATTTTGTTGTCCGCACATTCAACTATGTAAAGAACAAAGTATTTCAGGAGAATATTTAATTCATTCAGATCTAGGATGTGTTATTTTTGTGTTCCCCTTTTTTTTTTTTTGAGCAGTGTATATTGGTAACAAAATACACTTAGAATGACATTCTATATCTATCTTTCCTGGCCATATCCATGGCAGCACAACAATGGGTAGCTCCTCCCTATCCCTAACCAGACAGGAACCTAATTAAAACAGAAGGTATAAGTAACCCCTCCTACCCCTCCCACCCTCAGTTTTTTTGTTCCTGTCCTATCCCTAGGACAGATTTAGTCATTCTAAGACTAGATAATTTTTTCTTTTTGGCTTACCTGAGGGTTGTTACCTTCTCCCTCAAGGGAGTTCAGCCTCTCTCCCTTGGGCAGTCTCCAGTACACGGCCCTGTGCAAAGGTGACCCCCTGGAGAGACCCCTTCAGTGACCGGGGGTTCTAACTTGCTGTGACCCTAGGGGTAGCAAGATCATGCCATCACCATGATTCCTGCAGTGACCAAGAGGTAGCAGGCTGGGCATGCACATACAGAGCATATGGATTTACTTGCGGTGACCCTAGGGGTAGCAAAATTATGCCATCATTCTGTCTCCTGCAGTGACCAAGAGGTAGCAGGCCGGACATGCACATACAGAGCATGTGGATTGCAAGGATTAATATGACATTGACTAACATTCCATTGCTGAAGGAGTTAATGTGAGACAGACTAGCATTCCATCGCTGAAAGGGTTAAAGTACAACTTACTATCTTTTTCTTTGCCATGGATTTACTTGCTGTGAACCTAGGGGTAGCAAGATTATGCCATCAGCCTATTTCCTGCAGTGACCAACGAGTAGCAGGCCGGACATGCACACGGATTGCAAAGATTCTATGAGATTAACATTTCATCACTAAAAGAGTTAATGTGAGATGGACTAGCATTCCATCACTGAAAGGCTTAAAGTACAACTCACTATCTTGTACTTTCCCATGGATTTACTTGCTGTGACCCTAAAGGTAGCAAGATTTTGTCATCAGCCTATTTCCTGCAGTGATCAAGGAGTAGCAGGCTGGGCAGGCACATACAGAGCAAATATATGGATATAACCCCTTCTACCCTTCATCGGTTTCATCTAAATGGTAAGAGATTCCTGCTAATCTGAATTTCTATCAAACGTATTCCTAGGCTTCTGTGTCTTATTCCAAGGCCTCTGTGTCTTTTAATATATCCACTGGGTTACTTATTCCTAGGCCTCTGCTAGGCCTTTTAATATAGCAGTTGGATTCATTTATTCCTAGGCCTCTGCTGGGCCTTTTAAAATAGCAGTTGGATTCATTTATTCCTAGGCCTCTGGGCCTTTTAATATAAGCACTGGAGTCACTTATTCCAAGGCTTCTGTGTCTTTTAATATATCCACTGGATTACGTATTCCTAGGCCTTTGCTGGGCCTTTTAATATAGCAGCTGCATTAATTTATTCCTAGGCCACTGTCGGGCCTTTTAATATAGCCACTGGAGTCACTTATTTCTAGACTTCTGTGTCTTTTAATGTATCCACTGGATTACTTATCTCTAGGCCTCTGTTGGGCCTTTTAACTGGAGTCACTTACTCATAGGCTCCTGTGTCTTACTCCTAAGCCTCTGTATCTTTTAATACAGCGATAGGAATCACATTTTCCTAGGCATTTGTTATGCCTTTTAATATAGCAGCAAGCTTTTTCCTAGGCCTCTGTTGGGCCTTTTATTTTAACCGCTGGATTTATTTATTCCTAGGCCTCTGTTAAACCTTTTATTGCAGCTGTCTCACCTGAGTATGGTGAGATAGTTCAGTGGGCTAATACTTCATCAGAAGAATCTGTTTGTCACTTGGGGCTCACCAGTTCAATTCCCTGCAGGGCTGACTCAGTCCTTAATTGTAAATAAAATGTGTACACTTGGAAACCAGAAAATATCTGAATGTCTCTTTCCTGGTTCAAGATTTGCAATAATTGTTTCTAGTGCCTTTTAATACAGCTGCTGGGTTCACTTATTCTGTGTGCTTTTTAATTTCATTATTATATGCCTCCATGTTGGTTTTATGTATTCACTAAATTTATTATCCTACTTCAATGTCTCTGTACTTGGTAATAGGCTATTCGCTCTTCTGTTCCTCTATCTCAGCCTTTCAACCTGTTTTATTTTAAGTCCCTAAGTTTCCATTCTTACTTTTGGGCCCATTCAGGTTTTTTCCTCTGCGTTTAATCACCCGCGAATACGCAGGTGCTAGTCCAATGGTTGCGCCATGCCATTACCGCGCATGCGCAGAAATCTGATTCGCTCCTGCGTATTCTAAAATGTAAGCCCAGTTGCAGTGGTTGCAGGGTCATATTGGCTTCCCCTTTTCAGCACAATGTTTTCTTATAGGTTTTTCCTATATTAAGTAATTGGATTTGTGTGCAGTTTCCATCTTAATTTGAATTCTTCTTTTTGGTTTTGGTAAGTTTTTCTTTATCGAAGGTATATTACTTATTTTTCTGTATGTATCAATCTCTACTTATTTAATAAAAGTATATAGTAAAAAATTCCTAAAAATGAATAAATTGGTGCTACAGTCACCTTTGTGGGCCACACCACCACAAATCAAAAACAGTGATATAATACAAAAATAACAAGGGTGAGAGCACTCAACACAAGAAAAACAATAAGATTATAAAATTATGTTACCCAAACTTTGTCAATCAGTCTGAAAACTAAAAACAGAGAAAAGAGACATAGGGTAATATAGTTAAGATAATATATGTGGGTAACTATAAATGGTCTCACTCACATAAATAGAGCCACTTAGAAGCTGGCTCAAACTTCAGGCTTGAAAGTACAGTGGAAAAACCGGACTTCTCCCAAGGGCTTCCAAAATTCTACAGATGATACCTTTTATTCCATTCAGGATGCCAGAAATGGAAATGGTAGTAGATAAAAATTTATTGAAAATAAACAGAATAGAGTAAAAAATGTCTCTACAGGTAAGTCCGTTGTTGGAGTAAGTCCAAACACTTAACGCGTTTCGGCTCTCGCCTTCTTCCGAAGTGTTCCCACTGTAAAAAGCTCCGCTTTAAATACCGGTAATATTGGCGCCTTTCGAATTCAATTGCCGTCCGCTTCCTGGTGCGTCATGTACGTCATGACGTCAGCCGGCGTCCTCACGTAATGACGGCGTTCTTCTTCCGGATTCTTTTTTTCCATCTATGGAACGCAAAGTCAAACCGTTTCCGCCGACGTCTTAACCGGAACATGCGCAAACAGTCTTTTAAATCCTAATTTGACATAATTTCTTGCAAATGCTAAGTTAACACAATTAATCATTTAAAAAACATAATAAAGACAATTATACAAATCTAATGCCTAAAATTGATATAAAAAATACTAACACATCTTAAGTTAGCATACTTATGCTATACTTATTTAGCAGAGATTTTCTTTGTAAAGGATAAAAAGAAATCTTATGCAGTTATGGATTCAGACCCCTCTGCTCCCAGAAAAAAGGTCACACTCTAAGAGACATAGGTAAGCCATTCTATTTTTTTCTGTCATTACTAAACAAAAGAGTGCCTATCAATAATTGGAATTCCCTATGATGATAGCTCTACGGAAAGAAAATAATCCGGATCATACAAGGGAAGTCACACTAAAGAATTGTTTGTGAGGCATATGATAAGAAATCCTTGTAAAAGTAAAGTCTCTGCACAGACTGTCTGAAAGTGGCTACAGGCCCTTCTACCCATGCCTTGTGTATTACCTCCTGTTAATATTGTGTATCTCAAGACGTCATAGAAGCTGTTAAAGCTTGGATCCTCTGGACAATTCCCAGAATGAATACTCTTAGGAATCCTGGGAGATGGATCCATTCAGAGATATGAAATCATCGGATGAGGCTATTCAGCCTATTTCAGTAGTTCCAGAATCCGCTCATTTGATTTCCAGAGTCCTTTTACCTCTAGCCTTTCTTTTCGGATGTCAGAGGGTGTAGAGTATCTTTTCCAGTTTCCGGTCCCCTTAAGATCCTTAATGGAGGAATGGTTCTACACTGAGAGAGGTTTTCAACACAAGGGAGTATCTCAGTCTTCATCCATTGGAATTTCAGACACTAGTACCTGGGACTCTGCTCCTAAGTAGTAGATGCAGTCCTTAGACTGGCTAAATGTTCCTCTCTGCCTGTAAACAATGCGGGATCTCTGAAACTCCACGGAGTATACATGGTTCTGCTCCTCTCTAAAGCCTATGTGGCAGCTGGCACAGGCTTTCATCTTGCTGTAAGGTTTTACCTCAATCTCTAAGGATCTAATATTGGTATGGATAAATTGGAGGAGCATATCAGAGATAAATTTCCTTTGTCTCTTGACAATTTACAAGTCATTAACCGGGAATAGTCTTCAGCTAAGAAGCCTACATAGGTTGCATTATATTATAGCCAGAAATATGACTTTCTTTGTGTCTATTAGCTGGGCTCTTTTGCTTAATACCTGGTCCACGGATACATCCTCCTATATTAATGGATCAACAGAACGGCAGAGGGCAAGAAAGCTTGTCTACTTCAAGACCTAAGGTTTGGGAGACCCTTTCGATTTTCACTAAATTCCTTCTCAGACCAAGGTATTTCACACCATGAAGAGAGTGTGGTAGATCTCAACCTTGATGTAAGTGGTCATTATTCTACCAGAGGAAGAGAAAAGGTAAAAAGAGATGCTTTGTAAATCTCATGGCTTCCCTTCAATTAGAGGAAGCTATTGTGAGAATTTTTTTTAAAAAAAAGCAACTAGAACACAAAGAATCTGTTTCTAACAGGTGTTGGAGATCCATTCTACTTTACAGGATTCTTGAACGTTCTTATTTATAAAGGTAGTATTCCTAGTACATTGGATAATGTCTATAGATTTGCAGGATGCTTATTGCCATGTATCCTTTGCCTCACATCACTTTTATTTTTACATCTTCATGATGAAAGATGAATGTCTGCTGTAATCACCTTGCTCCCTCCCAGTTCAGGGTATAGCTGGAAATACAGTTCGGCATGGTCCAAGGCACGGTAGCATATTACTCCAGCAGAGAGAGTTTTGATCCAGGTCCTCCACCATAGATCTGATAAGTTGTCACAAGGGCAGAGGTTAACTTACCTATGGAAATCCTTTGGACAGTGATAACTATGAATACCATCCACTGGGGTTGAGGAACCTTTCTCAAAATTCAAATATGTTCAGGAAAGGGACTCCTTTAACATCCAACATTTCTCTTCTGAATAGGTTGCAATAGCCAATATCAATCATCCTGACAGTTCCATATTAATACCCAGTCCATGGTTTCCACTTCTACTTATCTTCTTCAGTGCCTCCATGGGATCTCCCACAATAGTTCTTCCCTCTTCCATCAGGTCCAGTGCTACTTTCCTCATTTTGAAGCTTTCGATAATGTAGAAGGGCTTAAATATAAGAGGTTTTTGAACTACCAAGAAGGTTCTAAGTTCTTCAATCCAGGACTTATCTAGGAATTGGCCACATCACCTCAGAGATATGTCTCAGCACTCTCTGATCTCTCTTTTCGTGAAAGGGCTTTAATATAGAAGTATCTAAATTTCTGTTGGTTGTATTTATATGATCCCACGGTTATCTATTGCTCTCCATGGAATTCTTTCCTGGTTTTTTTTTAGGGCTCTGAAATTTTTACCCCTTTTAACCATGAGAGTATATCTCTCCACATTTGCTTAACATTAAGTTAGCTATATCGTTGACATTGGCATGGACTGAAGGATATTAGATCCTCAAGCACTATTTTGCATAGAATGTAGAGTCCATAATAAAACTTTCTCCTCCTGTCCTAGATAGATGCCTTAAGATCAATTTTTATAGATCCGCTTTCTGGATTTCTTCTGTTTATCTTTACTAATAGACCACAAAGATCTTCAAGCCAACAGCAGATGGATAGTCTTGGCTGTTTTTTAGGCTACTAAACAGTAGAAAGATATGTTTGCTCTAGAGCCATTTCTCCCTCTTGAGCATCGGTGGCCAAGCTTCCCTGGAACTTGTAGGTAAATGGCTGCTTAGTCTCCAATCAATTTGCAGACATTTTTTTTTTTGGTACATTTGAGTTGGTCAGTTTGATAATGTGCCATTAGTGGCAATCAGTTTTTCATTTTGAATGTCCTTATGAGGTGTGTGTATGTTGTCAATTTGCATTCATATTTAGGAAGTCTTACTTCTTTCCCTCCCTTGGTTATTGCCCATTGTTGTGCTGCCATGGATATGGCCAGGAAAAAGGAAAATTTATTCCTACTTACCGTAAATTTCTTTTCTTGGTCATAGGCCATGGCAGCACAAAGATCCCGCCCTGGGATATTGCTGGAAACAAGACTGAGGGTGGGAGGGGTAGGAGGGGTTACTTATACCTTCTGTTTTAATTAGGTTCCTGTCTGGTTAGGGATAGGGAGGAGCTACCCATTGTTGTGCTGCCATGGCCTATGACCAGGAAAAGAAAATTACGGTAAGTAGGAACAAATTTTCCTTTATCTCTATATATAAAATACAAATAACCGCAAATATATACATACAAATATATATATATATATATATAATTACATAAATAACTACATAGATGTACATGTAGACTTTACATATATTAAAATTCTACGTGTATAGTTAAGTAATATTTTAACATAATTATCTGATTTAATTAAAATTTGATTGACATGCCTGACAACCCAAGCAGAAAGTGCAGAGAATTTGAATTGCAAGCACTATATTTAACCCTGTAACTTTCCAAAACACCATAAAACCTGTACATGGGGGGTACAGTTTTACTTGGGAGACTTCGCTGAACACATATTAGTGATTCAAAATGGTAACTTGTATTACAACAATATTTTTAGTAAAAGTTTTTTGCATTTTTCACACACGAACTGCACTTTTACTGACGATATTATTGTTGTAATATGTTTTACTGTTTTAAAACACTTATTTGTGCGTTCAGTGAAGTCTCCCAAGTATAACAGTACCCCCATGTACAGTTTTTATGGTGTTTTGAAAAGTTAGAGAGTCAAATATAAGGCTTGCTTTTCATTTTTTTCACATTGAAATTTGCCCTAATGGTTATTTTGAGACCATATGGTAGCCCAGGAATAAGAATTATCCCTATGATGGCATACCATAACCCAAGGTATTGCAAATGGGGTATATCCAGTCATTTTTAGTAGCCACTTAGTCACAAACACTGGCCAAATATTAGTTTTTTGCTTTTTTCACACAAAAACAAAGATGAATGCTAACTTTGGCCAGTGTTTGTGACTAAGTGGCTACTACAAAAGACTGGACATACCCCACTTGCAATACCTTTGGTAGTCTATTTTTGCAAATGGTATGCCTTAATGGGGGTAAATCACATATCTGGGCTACCACATGGTCTCAAAGGTAACATTACTAATCTAGCACATTTAAATTTGAAAAAACAGAAAAATGGAATGTGCTATATTTGACCCTTTAACTTTCCAAAACACCGTGAAAACTGTTAATGGGGCTACTATTGTACTCGTGAGACTTTGCTGAATCCAAACATGTGCTTTTTTTGCAGTAAAAGCTAACAGTATTATGACATTCACAGCTAAAATGTGAGGCGGAACTACAAATGTTTAAAAAAAATTTTTTTTTTTTTATTCATAATAAATTATGTTTCATATATGAATAGTTCATGAGAAATTAAAGCCCTGTTTCTCCTAAACAAAATTATATATAATAAGTGTGGGTTTACTTTATATGAAAGAGGTGAATTACAGTTGAACAGACATATAGCGCAAATTCCAGTTTTTGTTTACATTTTGTTTTGATCAGAATGTGTACTATTGACTCCGTCCTGAAGAGGTTAGAAGTAGGAGAGTCAGTAATAGAAAACCAATCAATATTTACTAGATTTGTGCACAAATCCCATTCAGCTGCTTCAAAGCCTATCAATCCATGGGGGTGCAAAGTGATTTTTTAATGCAAATTTGAAAGAATAGATTTGACAGGCATTTGATTCATTTGGCACAGCTAAAAAGCATTTGTGCACAGTTTACCTATTGCCAATTCTGTGCAAATTTTAAGTCTGTCATCAGAGTGCCTATAAGAACTGTTAACCCATGTATTAATTTTTTGTATAATAGTCTTACCCTCCCACCCGGTGGTCTTTTCGGGGAAAGATGGTAAGAGTAATGCCATACAGGGCATTGTAAATTAAAATTAAAATTTATTATTTTTTTAAACAGTTAAAGTGATTCTTAACTTCCTGCAACTCAGTGAGGAATGAGGCTCTCTTTGAATATTACTACTAACAACCAACAATTATTCAATGAAGTCTGAATTAAAGGAACACACCAAGTACCAAAACCATGGGTGTGGACAGGCCTACTTCCCATCCATTATTTGAAACCCCACCACTGGTTGTGGAGAAATGGTATACCCCATGACTAATGTGCCCACACTTAAAAACTATAGTTGGAGGGACCCTGTGGCAGATCCCTCCTAGAACAGGTTTGTTATGGGCAAATGTAAATATTACAAGTTTTAGAATGAAATGTATTTCTTAAACTGTGTACTTTGTCTTTAAGAGATATTGCAAACTGACAAGGTGTTAGAAATGGAACGTATTGTTTTTCATAGATGTTTCTTTAAGCAATAACCTCAGTGCATAATATGTTTGTGCCATTTTGTCCCAGACGAATTACAATAATGCATAAACAAGCTTCAAGGCTATACTACAACTCTTGCAGTACACAATATACTGTGGTAACCCCAAGTTAATGGAACTTCCCCAAATCCGGGAATCTCCCACGACTGTACACTTACGACTTAGTATAAACAACAGATAACCTATTCAGACTTTAAGATGCCATCTTGAACTAAGTCAGGAAAATTTCCATGACGTTTGCACCCGTTAGTTATGGCCTTGTATGTTTGCCAAATTAAGGGGGGTCCTAAAATGAATAAAGTAAAAGAAGTGTTACTTTTTCATATTTGAACTACGGTAACCTTAAAATGGAGACACCTAAGGTATAAATAGGTGCACTTTTAAATATTAAGACACAGAGGAGAGACTTGGAGACAGACGCTGCTCCATCTTAAAATGACAGAGAGGCTGACATGATGACATGTTCAGAAGGGTATGTTAACCTATTAATGATATTTGCAAGCATGTAATTTAATCTTATAAACTCTGCTACAATGGATTTTATATTTATATTTTTATATAATAAATATCCAAAAAGACAAAACTATTGCTTCCAAGACAATCCTTATTTTATATTGTATTCTCAATTTTTTATATATGTTAAATAGAGGATCTCTTACTAACTATATAAAATTATGGCTAAGATATCTGTATGGTTAGCCCTGCTAAGTTCTATGCTTTAAGACATTATAGTGGTAAATAAGGGAACCACCTGCGGTTACAGGTTAGCAATTGCTAATCAATTTTAAATACAACTGCTTGGCAGGGGCTGGAGAAAGGGAGTCAGAGACAAGTTCGCCTTTGTACATATTTTACAAATACCACATGCCAATGCTCAATGGATGGAGTACTATTGGAGGAGCAGCCATTGTCTGATCACGTTTCAGTAAATGTTTCCTCCTATTTGGTATGCAATGGGATAAAATGCTTGAAGTTAATGGTCCCATCATTTATATTTTACTGTAGGGGCAGAGTATGGCAAGCCAACCACCACCTATGTAATCCTTGTATGGCTAAAGGGCACCAATGGCCTGCTGGCTATCTAGATGAAAAGTGCATATTTCTCTTGAATATGGCATGCTTATAAAATAAGACAGCATTATAGTATGCTTTAGGTGTGTTGAGTGCTCCTTTAACTTTAGTTTTTCCAGAAGTCAATTCCAAACCTCAGGGCAAAATAAGCAAACTGAAAATGTAGCAAGGTTAGAGAATTTGGCCAATTATTTGATTAAAAGCGTAGGAAAAACTGTAAATTAGTATAGGTTTAAAATAAAAATAGGTCAGTAGTGTTCTTACCTTATTTTACTATTCAATTTTCAGTATCATTGTACTTCCTGGTTTTTTTTTTGTTTTTTTTTTAAAGTGACATTCCAGTTAACTTTTTTGTATAACAAAGGAGGCATGTTATAACCAATATGGGGATATTTGTCAAATTGTTCAGAAAAGTGGTTACATTTTCTGCTCTGTCTCCGTATTAAAAAGAGGGGGGAAAAAGAACACCACTCCAATCATGTGAAGATCCAGCTACTAAACTGGACCAAGGGTCAGCACCAGCCCCAGGGAGAAGGTAGCAGTAGTAGAAAGAGGATTCAGACACTCCAAGTATCTTCAAATGTATTTATTGAGACAAGTGAGACACCGCAACATTTCGACCAAGGTCGAAACGTTGCGGTATCTCACTTGTCCCAATAAACACATTTAAAGATATTTGGAGTGCCTGGATCCTCTTTCTACTACTGATGTCTATTTAGTGAAGTGATATAAAAAGTAACTTTTCTGCCAGTTTTCACAGGATAACGCATAAACAAGAAAGAGCCCAATGACCGTTCTAAGGGATAGTGCACAGTTAGATAGAAAATAGGGAAAGATTTAAAATAAAAAAAAGTAAAACCCTAACTTTATTAGAAGCAAATATAAAAATATAATCAAATATAAATTCATAACAAAGTGATTTAAAAGCTCATCTGAGAGAAGGCAGAGGGTAATGCAAATAATCTCCACCCAATCTACATGTCTCAATAGAGATAATGACAGCACCCTTGTCAAGGAAAGGATAATCTCCATCTATATTGGTATATAGATGCATCAATTCAGCTTTATGAGTAAAGTTTAGTGTCTCCATTAAGAAGGTGGAGACACAATTTCAGCGCTGCCCCATGTGCAGTACTGCCCCAAGAAGCATCTCTAGTAGCCATCTAAGGAGTGGCCAGTGGAGGTGTCCCTAAGCTGTAAACACTGCCTTTTCTCTGAAAAAGGCCTGCAGGTACAGGCTATACTCACCAGAATAACGTTGGCTGTAGTTGTTCTGATGACTATAGTGTCCCTTGAAGTGTAATCTTAATTTCAATGATACAAATAAGCCTTTCATTGTTGGGCAAGTTCGGGAATACTATAAAAAGTGATGTACTTGTGCCCATAAAGCACTGCTTATGATTAGTTGTAGTTCAACATTCACCTTTCTACAGTCACGTACAGCATTAGATAGTTATTACTGTAAACAAACCTACCCAATGCACCTAAAAATCAAGTGCCTCTGACATTGAGAGATTATTTTGCTTTGTCAGATGCTTGAAGAGTCTTGGACAATCTAGCATGGAGTGTTGATGGCAGTTTGAAATGTCAGGTATTACCATGAAGAGCAGCCATTTTTGTTCTATGCAGTTGTAGATGCATTGATTCAATCATGTTTAGAGAGAGAAGAAGAAAAAAACAAAAAAAAACACCACGAGGGACAGGAAACATCAAAGTGCCGGTTCAACAGACATAATGGTTAAAATTCACTCTTTATTTCATTAAAATATACACAGTAGAAAATTCAGCGTGTAGAGCAACCCACCACCTCATGTTGTTTTATATGAACTATTTGAAGTTGGTCATAGCGCTTCAGAACCTTACCTCAACTAATTTATTGCAGCCCAGCAGGATAAAGCAAAACCATGGTTGTGGTTTGGTTAACATACCATGGAGCATTAAGTCTTCTTAAAGTGACTGTCACTTCAAACTTACCATTCTCCTCTTTCATCATGTCTTCCTCTGCCGCAGTCTGTTCTTTTAGTAATTTATGATTAACTTCTAGTTGCTGTGGCGACCTGGGATTTTCCAGATCTCTAGTTAGTGTAGCTGCTGAGGGAGCTTTGACGGCCGCCGTCACGGGGAGCATTAGAGGCGGTTGTCCGAGGCAGCATGCAAGGGAGCAGTACTCTTCCTGCAGCTTTCTTTGGATCTAGGCAGCGAGGTAGAGCTGATACTACTAAGCATAATGAGCACGGGGTCCATATCTAGATTACCATTTTAGTTTAGGAGGAGCCCAAGCAAATGCATCGCAGCAAGAAACAAAATCTAAGAATAGGCAAAAGCTATTCGTAATTATATTTGGTATTCTAACACCCACTGCCATGTTTACAAGGTGAGGTAGGACTACATTTTCGCTACATCATTGTCTGTCTTCACGCTTACAAAAAGTATGCTGAATCATCCTCCAATCCGCAACCAGCATTCTTTAGTCCCCCTCCACTAAACCATCATAGCAGATCTTGTCAGTTTAATACAATAACTAGCATTTACCTTTATTATATACAAACTATAGATCCAAGTAGTCTATCCTAGATTATACAGCCATATTGAAACAGTAAGAGAAGAGGCTTTCCCCCTCCCCATTTGAAATGGTTTTGCAACTCACTTATTTTCAAAGTTTACAATAAGTTAAGGCTAACATTACACTAGTGTAAGTTGCAAATATCGATTTATTGGGTTAATTGTTCACTTAAAATGCTAAGTAAATAAAAGGAGCAGCCTGTTGGCATACAGTCCTCTTCCCTCCATACCACTACTGAAGCATCTGCGTTTTGATTTGGACCAATCTCAGTTGCACCTGAGAATATTAAGAAAATGCCAACAAAAACAAACTCAACCCACCGTTATCACGCCCTCCATTACTTAATGTAACATGTAAACATGTATAAGATAACATACCACAGCACACTCTTACCTGACACAAGCACTAAGGGTAGTATTATGTCAACTCGTTAATTGTTAACTACCTCAATTTTAAAAATACCTTACTGCTCTTTATTGTGCTAAGGCTATCGAAGTATGGCATGCGAGAGTTGTCGTGGTACAGCTCCGGTAACATTTTTCAAATGTTCTTGATTATGATGTTTTTATTTTGTTTTCTTATGCTCTGTGGGCAGAACGGAGCTACCTCCAACCAAGAAAATAGCTACCAGTACCCAGTGGCACAATTGAAGCATTGTTCAGCATAACAACCCAGCATGTCTAGAGTGGCTGACCGCTCTATGCATCTCCTCATACGTTACTCACCGTACTACCTTACAATGCTTAGCCACAGGCCTATGTTTATGCAAAGGTCAGCCACTCTCCCTTCACAGTAGCTCCAGACATATACCAGTCAGCCTGAACTCTTAGCATACCATAAAAACTTAAAATGTGCGATAGATACAAATGCCATAACCCTGTTTTATATGTCTTGTTATCAATCTGAGCGCAGAAGCTGTTGTGGCTTACTGAACACTATGTCTTTCTTTGCACGCTATAAATAAAGAATTTAAAAAAAATAAAAATAAAAAAAAACTCAACCTAGCATCAGAAAGAGGCCAAAACAATGAGTTCAATTTCTAAGTGACAAAGTTTTAATGATTTTTTTGGATTACAGTGAAAGGTAGAGGAATAAGCCTTATAAGGCTGGATTGGTACTGTATATAATTTATTACTGCTTATATATTTTACAATTACTTTCATTATAGCCATTTTACCATCCATTAAGTCAGGATACTGTTTAATATCCACTTTGTGAAGACGTTCTTGTCCTGCTTTTTCTGTCTCTAAAGTTTTAGTGATAACTCCAATAATCGTAAACAATGTTTAAAAGATATAGCTAAAGGAATGCCCTGCATGTAAACCATGATAAATAAGAATGTGTAATGCAATTTATTTCAGCGACTTCTACACAAAAATAAAGGGATGCACCCCCGAACCTAAACCTCATGCTGCAATACTTTGCTCTTTAGTTCTTTTCACATGAAGCAGCCAAGACAGATATTGTACATCTGCATAAAAATAAAACGAGGATCTATGGAGTAAACAGCAGGATCAGGTACAGAATGCCACCAGTATCTATGAGATTGATTGAGAAAGCCATTGAATGTGGACAAACACATCAACCGTTTTGGAGCACCTGAGGACGTTGTGAAAATATATTTCTCGTGATTTTTAATGTCTCCCTACGAAGACACACATGCTGAATTACCCAGGGCCAGCATAGAAGGGCTCCGAATAAGATAAGCAGGTTAAATACTTGCAATTGGTATTTATTTCTTGCTGTACTTCTCTAGAAGCTGCTACTTCTGTTTCTTGTTTCCTTTTGTGTACTGCTGAGAAGAATGAAGAGGGTCAGTGTCACCAGAGAACATATCCATCCATGTGATTTGAGCCTGTCCATACCTGGCTCTGTTCCATCTGGGTGTGTAATGTGTATGTTTTTACACAATTATACTCAAGATCTCATTTATTGTCTAGCGTTTGCTTTATTATATATCCCTTACTGAATAAGTGTTGATCCTTGTAAGCGCTCCACTATAAGCACTGGTTGTAGTTATATATTAAAAAAAAATAAAAAAAAAAAATCCTGTCCATCTTTATACACATCATGGAAGATGCCGCCAGATCCATAATTGCAGTGTAAGACCCTCTTTGGCTGCTGGGCTATACTTTATTAAATAAATATCAAATCGATCTATTAACTGCATATGTCAATCACTTACAGAAATGTAAGAGAGTTAGGACTTGGAAAAGTTAGTCCAGATCTAGAAGCCAGTTTTATAACTCAGGTTCTTGCTTCAAGGTAACCAAACATCATTTGTCAGCAAAGAGACAAACCACCACACCTTTCCACAACTACCCATACTTTTGTGGAGAGAGAATTATATATTTTAATCCTTAGAGGGAAACCATATGGAAGAATGAAGCACTAGGCAAACTTGCGGTAGTGTTACAATTTCTGATGACATCCTATAACCTTGCACTGACTTTATTTACAACCGAACATTAATCGCACAGAAGTGTCCATAATACAAAAGCAGGAAGAGTATGGTTAAGAAATGCACACTCCCTGAAAACAGCCATTACAAGGCCATTAGACAGCAAATACCAAGAACAATATTTCTAGTTGACACCCAAGCAGGAGTTTATCAAATTTAGTTTCAGAGTACTGAAATACCCTACTGATCAGGGGATATACACAGATGATAAAAAAATTAAAAAAAAAAAAAAAAATGCACCAATACATGGCAATGCATTGAACATTTTAGTTGAAACTGTATTTCCTGCACATAAATTGTTAAAACAAAGTAATTCAATGTGTAATTTATGCAAGATTTAGTTTGTATCATATCAACACCAAAATAGTAAGAGGACTTGTCAGCTACTACTGATGAATACTAACAGCCACAAAGGCAGTTTATTTTCCCAGTACAGAGATACAGCAAATCTTAGCAGGTTTTTCATTTTACCAATGGTACATGTCAAGCAACTCTAGTTGTTCCTGGACTTCCCATTCTTCCATGCAGACAATATGATGGTCCAGCCAGGTTTACAAGTTCCATGTAAAGCATATTTTAGCCATTCCATGTACCAGCAAAACTCTATCCATTAGAAAGTCTCACAATCAGGGTCCTGAAAAGGTAAGTTTCAGATCAGTTCCATTATCCTTTCACAATCTCCAGTGGGAAGACAAAATGTAGAACTCCCTTCATGAAAAGTTATAAAAATACAATAATATAAACATCTGATACACTGCATGACCAAAACGTATGTGGACACCCTTTCTAATTAGATTTTGCTAAATTAGGAAGTAGAATGGGCAGTTGACATTGCATGTGATGCCATAGAAGGACATTATCTTTCCAACACGTCAGTCTGTCAAGTTTTTGCTCTACGAGAGTTGCCCCGATTGATTGTAAAAATCAATCATTGGAAAGTAAAAATATTCTGGAAAAACAGCCAATGCCTCAACTGCAATGTGAGATGTCACACAAGCTCACAACAGAACAGAAGCCAACATTGCATACATTTTGTCCTATGTTGTATCATTCAATACCAAGTTCCAAATTGCCACCAGAAGCAACATTTGTAACAAGAACAGTTCACAGGAAGTTTCCACAGATCAAAATGTGTCAGACGAAGTGGTCTTTTTCCCCTGTAATCTACAGCAGTGATGAATCACTTCTGACAGTCTGGACAAATTAAGCATGTCGTCAGGAGATCACTACAGGAAGACGGTAACGGGAAAGATTGGAGCTACATTTCATGGTTCAGTCCTTTCATTCCAGCATAAATGCTGCAGGGAACAAAATACATTACAGTAAATATTGCTCTTTCAGCATACTGTTAACAGCTTAGTAAACGCCATTAGCTCTTCCAGCCTAGCGTCATCCCCATACAAACGGCAAGGCCTTGCAAAAATAGTTTGCGGAAGAATTGCACAGATCTATAAAGGATACTAACCTGAACCATATTCAAACCAAAAACTCATCCAGAAAGGCCATAATTTTAGAGATGTTTGACAAGCATGTGTCCACATATATTTGGCCGTGTAGTATATAATGGCATGTAAAGTTCATAAAGACTGATCCCAACCAAAAATCATTAAGTATGAAGAACAGAGTATCCAAATGCATATTGCAATTTAATTTTGCAACCAATGCATACAATGATACAATTTGATAGCACAAGTGGCAAAACAGAATCCATATTATTCAATTGTTGACTCAACTTTGGTTAGAGAACATTTAACTCTTCTGATTTTTACTTCAGAGTCCTACCATCTTTCCAAATAATCCACGGTTGTTTTAATATATAAACCAGAATCATTTCAAACGCACCAAGTTTTTTTTAAATGATATGCTGCTACTACTGGGATATACATAAATTAAAGTATTTAGAAAATCCACGTGACAAAGCTTTGTATCCCTTTTATAACTAAAAAGACAGCAGACACATTTGTTACATAGAGAAAAGTGTTTAATCTAGAAGCTTCTACAATACAAAACTAGAGGACGTGCGAGAGACTGTAAAGACACTAAATAAGAACTTAACTGGTGGTACAAAATAAGGAACGATTTAGAATTTTCACTAACCATGCAAACCTATGAAAAACTGTACTAGATGAACAAATAGTTAAAAATAAGAGGGTCCTTGGACCACTACAATTTCCTTTAACTCCAGTGTCCACTCCATGCATTGGATCAACGCAAGTATTTCATTGTGAAATTATAAAAGAATTGAAGAAAAAAACAAAAACAAAAAACACCACACACACCTCAGTCTTTAGTACTTTAGTAAAGTCAAACTAACTTTACGTTGCCCAATAGGTCTTCCATCCAGCTCCCTAACAGCAGCCACTGCATCATCATAATTCTTAATGCACACTGTTGCCATTCCTTTGGGCATACCCTGCTTGGAAACACGTATTAGAACAGACTCCGGAATCACGTTGTAACCATAAAAGAAATCCAGGATTTCTTCAGTAGTTGCAGTGTATGGCACATTCTTCATGCGAATTAGACCACTTGACCTACCAAAATTTTGGATCTGGATAGGATCAAAATCAATGTAATCAGTCATACTGCTTTTTTCTACGTCAATCCTTCCAAAAGGCTCATCAGCTCCATGGAAATCAGCACGACATGGACTTCTTAACCTTTCTGGACCCCTGAAATCTCCATGACCATGTCCAAACTCTGGCAGGCCAAGAGAGCTGGTAGGTGGTTCATATGGCTTATTCACAAACTCCTCAGATAATTCATAAGGACCTGCTGAGTGTTCATATGAATCTATACATTCAACATAATGATCTCTGTTAACAGGAGAGTGTCTTAAGGTCCTCCTATCCGGAGGATCTTGGACTGTTGCCAATTCAGTCATCTGTTCATCAGAAATGCGCCTCAACAAAACCTCTGTTCCCAAAAAACTTTGACGATTTAAACCTTCAGCAAGGATAGCTTGATTTTCAGTTGGAAACCTTACCAGAGCTTCCCCAAGTCCAACATCTTTACTATCATACAACAAGAATATATCATCTTCATGCACAGGAAATCCAACAAAGAACTTCTTGACTTCAGTTTTTGTCACATCAAAAGGAAAGTTTCTTAAATATAAGCATCTTTTTAAGTTTGAGCGTTCTTTAATATTTTGGGGGGGAAAGCTCTTGTCTTGTGAACTGCCTCTCTCAGGCACTAAATGTTTTTCATGCGCATCAATCATCACCAACATCGACGTCCGAGAAATGGGAACTATAGAAATTGTATGGCCACAAAAGCGACTTTTGTGTAAGCCAAGGCATCTCTCATAATGCCTCTGACTGTCTAGCCTAACAAAACCTTCAATTTTCTTGTCATTGTACTTAGGAAGCAGAAGTTTGATCTGTGATTCTGCCATTCCGGGATCACCTAATAAATGTTTAATCTCCTGTTTATTAACATCAATGGGTAGATTATTAAGATGAAGATAAAACTCACGATGGCGGGGTGATCTGGATCTTACCCTTTGTCTCTTTGATGATCTTGAAAGAGAATGTTTATTTACATCTCCATAACTGCCATCTCTATGGGAGTGCACATCCAAATATTCAATTTGACCACCAGCCTCAACCCATTTTTCTTCTGTAGATTTTTTTACAGATATGAACCTGTGACCCATATATTCATTGTTACGCTTAAGTGAAGCATTAGCATCATCAACACTATCAAATTTAACAAGTGCATTTCCATTCCGAACACCATTTGTATGCTGCAGGAAGATAATCTCAGCTATGTGCAGGCCATCAAAAAAATGTTTGAGATCATCTTCTGATGCACTGTATGGTAGACCAAATAAAAATACATAAATACTTCCATCTTCTTTCGGTTCTTTTGTATCTTTCCTTACACCACTTGTACCTCTATTTCCTACACTTTGTTTGTGCACATTTTCTGATTGCTTTCCTCCACTGCTGTAGGAGCCAGAATCTGGGCGATCATTTCCATACTTATTTTGATGTATCCCTTTCTTCATTGCGGTTAGGATCTTTGAAAGATTTTCAACAGAAGATACTCCAGAATATTTCATATCGCGGCCGCCTTTTCTATTCATTTCAAGAGTATTTTGCATTTCTGTCTTGCTGCTTAGAAAAAGCTGAATGTAGGATTGCTTTATCATGCCTCCTGTCCGGCTCATGGCACGTCTGGCATCTTCATCCGTGGAAAATATAATAAAGACTTCACCAAGCTTCCCACCAATAATATGAACTCCTCCATCAGGAATATTCAACCCAGTGAAGAAATGACGAATATCAGCAGAGCCAGCTTCAACAGGAAGTCCCTGCAAGCGGATGACTACTGCCATTCTTATAAATTTGACTGAATTACACCTGCAGACAAAAAACAAGTACACAATAGCATTTAGAATATGGCCAGTGAAAATACCTTAATAGGAGAGATAAGTCAACTACCACTTTCTCTATTTACTTACTAAACTCAAATGTTTTGATACATACACAAGTTACAAAATGCCATAAAGAAATATATATTTATTACATACACATATACACACACACACACACACACACACACACACACTTACACTTTATTTTATTTACATAAAATGCTAGCCATAGTGCTAACAACCAGAATAAAATCACGTAAGATACCTAGAACGTACTTGAAAACCAGGGTAATCTGAATGTGCTTTTCCTGGTTAAATACGTTATTATGTAAGCAGTAACATAACAAATGTACCAAATATAACTGTTCACATAATTTTTACATTAGGTACATAAGGAAGAGAGATTCTACTACCTCAGCATTCCCTTCTTAATCAGGATCTTTACATAAGGTCTGCCTGTTCTTATTGAGTGCACCCCTCGGTTTTACTGCATGTCTATTCAATGAATGACTTAGTTCTGTGTGAAACAGCTCACAAAACGACAAAGTTTACCAACCAACAGAAACACTTATGAACAGCAACTCACAAAAGTGTTGGCAATAAAAGGTAACATGGAATGATGCAAAAAACATGGGCAATAAAAAAAAAAAAAAAACCCCAAGTGCTTCAGTTAACCCTTAAGCGGAGGATTAAAAAAATTAAAAAAAAAAAAACTAAAAAGGATGTCTGTTACGCTCTGTATTGCTTTAAAAATAAAGTGATTATGGAGCCAGAAGGTCACTAGTGTTAGCTTACCTTGAGGAGTTAAACAGTCCATTATTGGTATAACCCCAAAGTCTCCTCTCCAGCCCTGTTTCTCTCTGCTCCTTTCAACATGTGATTTTTCTAAATCTTTAAAATGGAAGCCTTAGACTCTCTAAGCCAATCCGTAGCTCCCCATTCATTAAAAAACATTGAGAAGAGTATGTATGTTTCTCAAGCTGTTTTGTGAATAGGGAGCAACTGCTTGGCATAGACAACATTTGGCACTCCATATGTTTGGACTACACCTCCCATGATGCTTTGCCAACATTATGGGTGTAAGAGCATTATGTGGGATGTAGTCCACAACATCTGGAGTGCCGAAGGTTGCCTATCCCTGGCATAGAGCATCAGCTAACCGCTCTAAGTCAGAGGTGCACCAGCCTTGTGGTAGTTCAAGGCTTCTGTTCTGAAGAATTTGAGAAACCAGATCTTGGAAGGAACAGAGCGAAATGCAGAGAGAGGGGAGACCTAGAGGTTAAACCACTCTTGAATGGTTTAACCCACAAAGGTAAGCCAGTGCCGGGGAGCTCCTGGCACAATAACATTAATTTTGATGTTGTTAGGATGACTGGAGCGTTCATTTAAGGCAGACATTGGTTTTATAATGTGGAGTTATGGAACCTTAATATTCTTTAGCAACTTGATTACGGCTTGCTATATAGTCTATTTAAAGAGCATTGAATAATAGTGTTAAGATAAATCAGGAAGTTTAGTAAATTATTGATTAAAAAATAGGACTTTTAAAAAAAAAATAAAAAAAAACACATGACTTATATACAAACAAGAGTACAAGTTACTCAACTCCTGACTTGCAACAATGATAAGAGGTTGGAGTGAACCCTTGTGGAAATTGTACAGACTGTTTAAAATGAAAGTTCACTGATATTACTTCTGGTCAGCAATTTCATCAGAAGCAACATACACTACATCGTAACTAAAAGCTTTGCATGCAAACACTAATTTAACTGTTCATTTTAATGTATTTTTACTTTACTTGTACCGGCTCACAAAGCTTACCTATATATTTTCAGGATACCTGCAAATGCTTTAAAGATTTAACTGTGGGAAGAAATTAAAAAACAGGTTATGGATAACCAAAACTTTTTCTGAAGGTTTAAAAAAGATACAGTACACCAATAGCAATCCTAAACAGAACAAAATTAATGTGAGAGAGAAGATGAGGGCAGAAAAATCAAAGATTCAAAAAAAAAAAAAAAAATTGATGAACTTACGTAGTTCACATACATGCTTAACCAACAAAATATTGCAACAAAATCCAGTGCAGATTTAATGAATACATGGATTTTACTGCAAAATTTACCACAAGTTATACACAATTTAAGACATTACTGTTACCCGCAAGATTATAGTTCGCAGCATTAGTGATGAATAATTCTGATGCAGTACTGGTTAATAAAATGTTTTGCCAAATAGTGCATTGATATACTCAACACAGAATATTTAAGATAATCAAACAACCATAAAGGCCAGAAAAACACACAAACCTAGCTTCTATATTGGAAATAGAGTATCGGCTTAGCCCCCCAAAGAACAATTGATACAGTTTAATTTGTTACATATATATTTCAAACCTGAATACACAATTCCAAAAGCGGTCTTGTAACATTGGTAAAACTATCAGGATACAGAAAACATTTGACAATGTCCATGTGCCTTCTTCCTCAAGAGATAAGCACAGAATACAACCCATCAATGCCAAAGAAACGTGTTTTGGTCCTGATGTATTACAATCTATTTACTGGAGTTTAAAAAAAAAAATCCTCTATAAAACATGCAGGCAAGCATTGGAGGTGATGGCGGCGATCACATTCAACCTTTACAGGCTCTAGGAAGTAAAACATGGGTTATGAATAGTCCATATGGTTAACCAAAGATCCTTAACAGCGATCTGAGCATGGCATCAAGATGGTCCATCCTAGGAGGCAAGGAGTGGTGAAAACTACCTGAAAATCACATAGACCCAATGCCACCTAGCCTTCTCCCCAATACCTAATACAACCCTCAGGAACCTCTATAGGAGTATAACTAGCAGAACATGTGAAGCAGCACCCATACACCATATTCCATACTCTCTGTATATAGTGCCAACATATTCAGCAGCGCAGTACAATGGCTTTGTTGAATAAAATAACTGGGGGAGAGCTGCTCAGTTTGTATCAGCCATAGTAACACGTGGGAGCACAGTCAGTGCCAGGTACACTGACACCCCTTAACCCAAGGTACACTGACACCCCTTAACCCAGGGTACACTGACACCCCTTAACCCAGGGTACACTGACACCCCTTAACCCAAGGTACACTGACACCCCTTAACCCAGGGTACCCAGCCAGCCCCCCCCCCTCCTTCTCCCTCCCCCTGGTGTGATTACCGCCATGGCCCCAGCGGGCCGGGCCCATCACATTGCAGGTCGCCTAGCACAGGCCGGGCCCGCACTATAGGGAGAGGGCCTTCAGCTGACCCTAGGCCCCGCAGCCATTTCCCCTCCCTCCATCTCTCCGAGGGACACGGGCAGCATATTTACCGCGAGTCGAAGAACAACACACGCAAAATGGAAGCGCTCTCCGACTTTTTAAGGTGGGAGTGGGTGGGGGGGGCCCGAATGAGAAAATGGCGCCAACCCTCAGTCCTCCTCCACCTCCAGTAGCGCGACACGACGGGTTACCTCAGCACAAGGGAAGCTACACACTCGAGCCCGCCGCCCTCGTTTCCTGCCAGACAGTTCCTGCCATTTCCGGTCTAGTCTCGAGTGTGTAGCACTCGGTGGGCGGGGCTCTCGCTCGCCAACTGTCGGTTATCTGCGCGGCTCGTGCAAACCGCCACTTCCTCCTCACCCCGCCCATCCCCCCTCCCTCCCGCCTCTGTGAGAAGCTGAGTGCTGGTCATGGTGGACATTGTGATGAGGGATGTTCAAGTTATCTAATAAAATCTTTAACAGCTCACAGATAGAGTTCAAACTGCAAATGAGGGAATAATATGGTTAAAGGAAAGTTCTAGAAGACACAGTAACCCCCTCACTTCCCCAAAGCTTGCTGTTGTGGTTATAGTACTAGGAGACCCTGGGTACATTGGGCACTTTCTGACAGTAATTTCTCAAACATTAGACACTGTTTCTGACTTGACCTAATGTGGGACTGTCATGGATGTGTCCATTTTTTGTTTTTAACCCCACCCTCTCTAGTTGCACCGAATTCTCTACATTTTATTGTCCCCGTTAGTCACGGAAATACCTCAAGGTCCCCCATTTCACCCTTTTTTGACTGCTTAATCTCTTCTCTGGATATATGTCCTAGGCTTTGTGTTTCTGGATGAAGTGTACCGCAAGACCTTCATCTGCCCACACTAACTCGTGCTGTGAAATTCCTGCACATGGAGACTTGGGGCATTCGCTTTTGACGAAATTTCTCACCGGGCCGGCTGTAAGACAAATGAATGAATGAATAGAAATTAAAATGAACGAAAAAAAATACTGAATTGCAATTCGGTCTATGTTCGTTCGATTCGCTTATTACAAGAAGGTAGTGTGGTGGAATCTCGGTAAAAATAAATTTAGTAGGCCGAGATTACCACATGGCATGTGTACGTGCATATGCTGACGTATCGATCAGTTGGTTGCACGAGGCAAGATACGATCAGTAGTGTACGGAGCATGTGCAAGAATACAGGATGTAGTATTCCCCTCCTCCATTGTGCTGGACAAGCCATGTGGTCAAGCAGGAAGTTAATTCTTATTTGTAATGATTGGTCAAGAGAATGTGCGGGTGGAGCTTAATATGGGAGGAGTTATGTGCCTATATAGGGAGCCTGCACTATTGTTCAGGGCTCAGAACTTGCTGTATTTTTGGTGACATTAGTCCCTCTGAGTCCCGATCGGTGATCCAATAAAGAATCTCTTCCTTCCTGAAGAAACCTGTGTCCATCCCTCTGTGCTTTGCTTCCGTCAGTTTCTCCGGTATCATTTGGTGCATTGGCCGGGAAGCTCATCGTTCAACGGTAGCTGAGAGGCAGAGGCGTGAGACGGTCTATCTTTGCCCACGTTCTCTACGGCTGCACCCCTGAACTTCTGCGTGGACCTCCCTTCGTCTCGGCGCCACTGGTCTGTTGTCCAGGAGATCATCGGCCTCTACGTAAGAAGTGCTGGGGTGTCCCCGTCGATGAGTGTGAACTCAGGTTCAGGAACGAGGAGGTAAGACAACTGCTGTTTTAGACGGCAGACCCACTAGGGGTATACCGATTGTGCGGTAGGCCCAAAAGGGGTTTAAATCTGTGTATGGAATCTGCCCCCTCTGTCGGAGGGAAGGAGCGAAGGCGCACCGCTCGATCGAACGCTCTTTAGTAAGACCGTTTGATCTGGTTAGTCAGGCGGGGTCCTGTGTAAATAGCCCTAGCCGGACACCGGTGTCTTGTCTAGACTAGCGTTCTAGGGTGTATATTACGTTCGCTAGGTCGGAGGGACCGGGAGACTAAGCGGCGCCTGTGTAAATTCGGTTCGCTAGCTCTCAACCTATCTTGGCTAAGTGGGAAGGCGTGTAAATTTGGAACCCACTAGACTTTTGATAGAGTAAATAGACTAGAAGGGCAATTTTGTAAATTTGCCCTCTAGTTCGCTATATGTGGTGCTTGGGCAGTGTGGCTAACCAAAACGGGTGTATATAGTTTTAGGTAGTCCATTCAAGGTACTGGCCAATAGTTTAGTTGGGATTGTAAATGTGTTAAAGATTGTTAGTAAAGTGTATATCTTGTTAGATAGCGCGAGCTCAGCCGTCTAGCGAGAGTGTTAATAGTGTGTTGCTGTATCATAGTGCACGGTACCATAACCCTGTATATTTACTGACACTGTATATAAGTACTAATCATTGTCGTCTATTGCATGTTTAACACCGTAACCACTAATAATTGTATTGTGACCTTAAATTGTGCTTTGACCTATGCTAACCGTACTGTAACCGATACTAGTAAAAGACGATGTTACTGGGGTGTGTTATAGACGGGTAATTCATATATAGAGAATTATAGCGTGGGTGACTGTATAGTTTCGCCAAAGGGCATAATATTGATTATTTAGTGACTGGTGTAACAGCTGTGTGTGTACGGGAATTCCCTGAGTGATTATTGTGTTATTGTGTACGTTTCACTCGGTAACTGTACCACGTGGTGCTGTTGCCAGAGGAAACGGGTGTGACTGTTGAATAAGAACGCGTGCATAGTATTCGTTGTCAACGACGTTCCATTGATAAGTATGGGCGCGTCAGAGTCAACGATTTCGGATCCCTTAGGTTGTATGGTAAAGAATTTTAAAAAGGGATTCAAAACATGTGATTTTGGGGTTAAAATGTCTCCTGTACGTTTGGTCACTTTGTGCACTAGGGAGTGGCCTACTTTGGTTGCGGCATGGCCGCCGCGTGGCAGTTTGGATCCAACCCTGGTACAGCGTGTACACGTGGCTGTGTCAGGTAGGCCTGAACTTTACGGACAGTTTCCATACATTGATTGTTGGAGGCAGGCCGTAAACGACTCGCCAAAATGGATCCGGATATGCCACGAGGAGCAATGTCGCCTCATGGTGGCCAGGACTTATTTGTCCACTAGGACCGGTGTTAGGCCCATTTTGGACACGCCCCCTGAGTCCGAGATCCCTTTGCCGCCCCCTTACTTCCCTTTAAGAGGAAGTGACGCGAATGCAGGAAGTTCTGCACCCCTTCCCCTATTGCCCCCATCCACTTCCGCTTCCTCCTCCAGTACAGAATCCACCCCCCCTCGTATTAAAACTCCCCTTCCTGAACCAGGACCAACCCCCATTAGATCTGAATATCCTGATTTGGCGCCACTTCAAACTTCCGGTCAAGCTTCTTCTAGCTCGGCTCAGAGTATACTATTCACTAATTTTTCACAAAATCAAGTTCCCACATCCTCATGCCCTATTACCTCTCGACCGGAACCTTTAACTGACGCCCCTCCACGTAGCCCCATACTAACCCGACAACTGACCGGTACCCAACAATTAAAACATTATCAGATGCCTCTTCGTCTGAATCCTGGGTCAGCCTATATCGATGCCGCAGGTCAAATGGCACATGCTGACCCAGTCTTCGTATATGTCCCGTTCACGACTACCGATCTCTTGAATTGGAAGACCCACAATTCCTCGTACACTGAGAAACCACAAGCTATGACCGATCTGTTCACCTCGATAGTTCAGACACATAACCCGACATGGGCTGATTGCCAGCAGTTATTAATGACATTGTTCAATAATGAGGAAAGGACAAGGATTAACCAAGCGGCCATTAAGGCGCTAGAGGAGAGAGCCCGTGCTTTAAATCAAGCCAATCCGGCAGCATGGGCCGCAACACATTACCCTAACACCGATCCTGACTGGAATGTAAATGGCGCAGATATGGCTCAACTTAAAGCCTATAGAGACGCTATAATTGCTGGCATGAAAGCCGGAGGGAAGAAAGCTATTAACATGTCGAAGACAGTTGAGGTGATTCAGAAAAGTGATGAAGCGCCCAGTGTCTTTTATGACCGATTATTGGAGGCATACCGCTTGTATACCCCCTTTAATCCGGAAGACGCTGATAATTCCCGAATGGTAAACTCCGCCTTTGTCAGCCAAGCTTACGGAGATATTAAGCGCAAGCTACAGAAATTAGAAGGGTTTGCAGGTATGTCTATCACCCAACTAATGGAGGTAGCGAACAAAGTATATATGAATAGGGAAACAGAAAGTAAGAAAGAGGAAGAGCGCAAGATGCGTAGAAAGGCAGATATGCTAGCGGTAGCGATCGCAGGCGTAGATAGACGGGGCCCAGATAGAGGCGATGGTAGATGGAATAGGGAGCCTTTGAGTAGGAATCAGTGCGCGTACTGCAAGGAAGAAGGGCATTGGAGGAATGAGTGTCCGCAAAGAGAGCAGTATGAGAGAGACTTACCCAGGGCAGGTTATGGAAACTTTAGAGGCAGAGCGAGAGGTAGAGGAGGCCCCGGAGGGAGTAATGGTAATAGAGGGAGTAATGGGAACAGAGGAAGTGTAAGGGAAGATAGGTACTATCCAGCAGCGCAAAGGTCCCGCGATAGAGAAGGTAGGGACTTTGTGGGATTGGCTGACACGGTCATGGAGGACTATTGATACCGACCGGGCTCCATCCCCCTTGGTCGAGCGGAGCCTATGGTCGATGTATCAATAGGGGGAAAAAGGAGTGCGTTCATGATCGACACTGGTGCTGAACATTCGGTGGTGACTAATCTAGTTGCTCCTCCATCTGGAAGAACTATTACTGTAATAGGAGCAACTGGAAGAAGTGCTGAAAAACCGGTTCTTAAAAGTCGACTCTGTACATTGGGAGGCCACGTAGTAAAACATCAATTCCTTTATATGCCTGAGTGTCCAGTCCAATTGCTGGGACGTGATATGCTATCCAAATTACAAGCGCAGATTACGTTCCTACCAAATGGAACAACATCCTTAAAGTTTAATGGACCCTCAGGTATTATGACATTGTCCGTACCAAAGGAAGAAGAGTGGCGACTTTATACAGTGTTGACTAGCCAAAACCCGAGGAGTGATGAATCCTTATTTAACATACCAGGAGTTTGGGCAGAGAACAACCCACCAGGACTGGCCCGCAATATTCCACCTATTAAAATCGAACTAAAACTTGGGGTTTATCCAGTAAGCCTGAGACAATATCATATTCCGCAGAAGGCTAAGAAGAACATCCAATCTTATCTGGATAAGTTCATACGGTATGGTATCCTAAAGTTCTGTACTTCCCCCTGGAACACCCCATTGCTGCCTGTTCAAAAGCCCGGTACAGATGAGTATCGACCTGTGCAGGACTTGAGAGCAGTCAATGATGCGGTTGTTAGTATACATCCAGTCGTGCCCAATCCATATAACCTGCTTGCTTTAATTCCGGGCGGGGCTACTTACTTTACAGTCTTAGATCTCAAAGATGCCTTCTTTTGCCTCCGAATTGCCGTAGAGAGCCAATGTATCTTTGCTTTCCAATGGGAAAATGCTGTAACGGGCTCGAAACGCCAAATGACCTGGACAAGATTGCCCCAGGGGTTTAAAAATTCACCTACCCTATTTGGTTCAGCTCTAAGCCAAGATCTACTAGATTTTGAGTCTATCCCAGGAGAGTGTGTATTATTACAATATGTAGATGACTTGTTGATAGCAGCAGTTACAAAGGAAGTATGTC